CCCGCCCCCGTCCCCCCTCCCCCGCTGCCCCCCGCACGTCTGCATTGCCTGCGGCTGGCTCAGGGCTCAATACATACTAGTCCACTCTCAGGTTGTGATAAGGTTCAGCAAACACGAACCCATGTTCAGGATACGATTAGGATTTGATACAGCCTGTGTTCAGGATGTAACATTCAGCACACCCTAGCCCACCCTTACAATGCGATGAGGCTCAGCACACGCTACTAACTTCAGGTTAAGAGGCTCAGCACACAATAACTCATACTCAGGACGTAAAGTTCGGCACACATTAACCTACTCTCATGATGTGACAAGGCTCAGCACATACTAATGCACTTTCAGGCTGTGTGAAAACTAAGAACGTAGTACTAATCCATCTACAGGAAGTGATAAAGGCCCAACACTCGGAACAAGGCCTTATTAGGTGCTCACCCCCCCTCGGAAAGAAGTTCCTTCAGAATCCCTTAAGGTCTCCACATATGCTATTTCAGGCCCCAAAGTTACAACGTGGGTCCAACAAAATCGCCCTCAGGAAGTGAGAAGGGTTTCATTCAGGAGTGGAGAGAGTCCGTGAGGGGCAGGCTGGTGGTTCCCAGGGTTGGGGGGCTTCTTGGCTGATGGTCTTTTCTTCTCCCCCACAGAGGCCGGGCCCTGAGCTCTTCGACCCCAGCAGCTGCCCTGGGGAATGGCTGAGTGAGCCAGACTGGACCCTGGAGGGTGTCAGGGGGCCCCTGGCTCAGGGGCTCCCACCCCACCACGTTCACCCGCATGGTGCACCCCGGACCACCAGCTTCCTGCAGCATGTCGGTGGGCACCATTGATGGTGACCCCACCCCTGCCCATCACCGGGGGCTGCGCTAGCTGGGCTGGGATCCCCTCCTTAGAGCCATTTCCTGAACCCACAGATTATTCTTACAGAAAGATAGTTATCCAGAAATTCCCCATTACCCTCGCCCATGGTGCATGCATGCCAGCACACACACGTTGAACACAGGAGGGCCTTGGGGTCTGGCCCGTGGCCCCCTGGGCCAAAGGGACACAGGAAGGGGGCTGTACCCCGCTGGCCCCGCGCATGCCCTTGGCCCCGCCGCCTCTGCCTATTTCAATAAAGAACTGTTCAGCAGCCCTGCGTGAAGCCTGGCCTGGTGCCAGGGTGGGGTTCAGGCCGGTGGCCAGGGCCCTGCTCTCCGATCTGCGCCCAGTCGGCTACCGGCTCAGGCTGGAGGCTGGGCTGCCGTCGCACTGGGAAGGGACAGGCTGCGCTCGCTCGCTGACCCACCCCCTAAATATGCTACGTGCTTGGCACGGGAGAATCCACCCTCAGATCATTCTCGGTGTTCAGCAGTTGCCAACCCAAGCTCGCCAAATGCCCAGGTCTCATCTGTTGACCTGCCCTTGCCACGTGCACAGGCTTGGCATGCACTCAGCCATGCTTGGGTCACGCTAAGTGTCAATTCACTTGGCAGGCAGAAATTCACGCTCGGTGCACACTCCAGTGTTCAGACATGCGAGCCCACCCTGGGGGACACGGTGACGGGTCAGCGTGTGCCCGTCTGGCCGGGAGGCTGGGAACGCCACGCTGGGTGTGCAGCAGCGTGGGGCTGGCCACGTGGGGGTCAGCTCGTGCCAGTCCACATGGTCACACGCTACATGCTCAGCACGTACTGGTTCATGTGCATTGCACACCGAGAGCCCAGCACGTGCCAAATACATGCTAAAGGCACAGCACGTGCTGTGGGTTCAGGATTTGCCAAGCCACACCGCTGACATGCTGAGGGCTCAGCAAGCACTACGTCTCCAGGAGAGGCCCATGCCAGCCGTCCCCGACCCCGACACCTCACTTCACATCACTGAGCCAGGCACAGGCTGTACAGACAAGTTATTTACTTCTTCTTATAACCTTGAGCCCTCTTTGCCCTGGAAAGGGGGGTGGGCCAGGGGGCCGGGCCCAGCATGCACCCCCATTTCTTCGGGGGCTGATCCCTCCCCCAGCTGGGCCGGGTCCTGGGGCCACAGCGTCAGGCTGGCAGGGGCGGAGGTAGAGGTGGGAGAGCAGGGGAGAGCCAGTGGAGCCACAACGGGACACACAGAAGCGGGGGCATGGGGACAGGGGCCGGGACCCGGGATATCTGGGTCCGTGGGGGCCTCGCAGGCCTCGGCCTGTCTGTGGGACCGCGGCCTCACAGCAGGCGACAGGCATTGCCCACGCTGTCAGCTGAGGTGTCAAGGTCATGGCTGTAAGGGGAGTCCCAGTCCCTTAGGAAAACGGCCTCCAGCTGGCTCCTCAGGCCACCACGCCCATTCTGTGTCACCAGCAGCGAGGTGCCCGCCGTCTCCGTGAAGTAGCTGCCAGACCAGTTGGAGGTTCCTGCCGGGTGGGGTCAGAGAGTCAGAGCCCACGGCTGTGACCGGACTCCCTTTCCATCCCCCTGGCGGAGCTCAGGACACTCACCGATGTAGGTGGCGCGTTCGGTCACCATGTACTTATTGTGGTTGACGCGGGCGTATGGGATCCGGGTCTGGGCCTCATCCGCAGGGACCACAAAGAGTTTCTGAGGGCGAGGGGAGAACGAGAAGGAGCGTGAGATGCAGGGTGGGGTTGGGGACAAGCCAGGGGCTGGGGTGGGGAGTGGAAGCAGGTTTGCAGGACTAGGGACTCAGCTGTTTCCCACAGAACTGTGAGAGCCAGAACGGGGCCCAGCGGAGTGGGTGTCTGCTACCAGGGAGGAACCAGCTGCCTTGTTTGCCATTCCTTCTAGAACAGCTCCTATTTGTCCCTTAGGTCTCACCACAGATGTCCCCTTTTCCAAAAAGTCCTCCTTGACACCCCCCCACTGGGGCAGATGCCTCCCGGGAGGACCCCCCTATCCTGGCCATGATGCTTCCGTCCATGCCTCCTCCGTCTGGGTCCTGCCCCCTCTCCCTGTGCCCTGTCCTCCTGGCTGGACCCACCGTCTCCCCCTCATGGCACAGCCCTGTCCATCTGGGTCGTCCCTGTCAGGTGACAGGTGAGCTCCTTGAGGGCTGTCTTCAGGTCCGAGGGGTAGGTCCGGGGGGGCACTTACCACCTGGATGTCGGAGTGGGTGTGGTTGTCACGCAGCGCGGCCAGGGAGTGCAGGAAGGCCCGCATGGATGGCTCAGAGTGTCCCCAGCAGCTGACCAGCAGGCGCACCTTGACGCCCCGCTCATAGGCAGCCCGCCGGAGCCCGTCGTCAATGGCGGGCCAGAACCTGGGGGATTCAGAGGACAGCTTTACCTACGGCCTCACCCTGAGGCCTGCTCCAGCTGCCGAGCGCCCTCAAATCCCAAGACCGCCCTATCTCTGGCTCCCAGTTCTGTTCCTGCCTCCTTAAATCCCACGTGCCCCATCCCGTTTCTGGCTCCCACTCCTGCCCCCCAAGCTCCTCATCCTGTTTCCAGCCCATACTCTCTGCTCCCTAACTTGAGAAATCCTACACCGCGCAACCCCTGCCCCAGGCCTCAGGTCCGCCGCCCTGTCCCCAACCCCCCAGTACTGTCATCCTTTCCTCTGTCCCCCCCCGCCCCACCCCGTCTTGAGTATCCAAATCCCCCATCCCCGTCTCCTCTGCCTCTCCCTGTGGTTTCCCTTTGCCTGGGTCCCCTGCCTGCTTTGTGGCCTCATCACTCTGTCTCCCACTGCCTCTTCCATTCATGGTGGTTGCCTGCCTCAAGCCCCATCCATGCAGCAGTGGCACCTGCGTGGGTGGGAGAACTCCATGGTGGGCAGGTAGTTCATGACCGCAACGTAGATGAAACTCCGGGCGTTGTCCACCACATTGAGCAGGGCCTTCAGATCTGGGGTGCGGCCACTGGGACACAGTGGTGGGGGCGCACTCTGCAGGGAGGGGGCAGTCAAGACACGTGCCTTGCCAAGGGTGCCATCATAGTGGACCCCAGGCACAGACAAATTGTCCCAAGCCAGGTCCTGTGGATTGCACTGAATTCTCAGCCTCCGGGAAAGGTTGGGATAATTACCACGTCCATTTTATAGGTGAGGAAACTGAGGCTCAGAGAGGGTAAGTGATTTGCCTAAGGTCACACAGCTGACAAATGGAGCCAGGATTTGAACCTAGGCTGTCTGGTTCCAGAATTCATGCGAGAGGCACCTGGGTGGCTCAGTCGGTTAAGCATTGGACTCTTGATTTCGGCTCAGGGCATGATCTCACGGCTCATGAGTTCAAGCCCCACATGAGGCTCTGCACTGATAGCACAGCCTGCTTGGGATTCTCTCTCTCTCTCTCTCTCTCTTTGCCCCTCCCCTGCTTGTGCAAGCTCTCTCTCAAAAGAAATAAATAAACATTAAGAAAAAAGAGAATTTACACTCTAACACAGGGGTTCCTGACATAAGGGTCCTGGTCCAGCACAGACAACATCACCTGGAACTTGTTAGAATTGCAAATTCTTGGCTGGGG